CTCTCTCTCCCTCTCTCTAAAACAAACAAATGAACAACAACAAAAAAAACCCTCTTGTGTTAACATCTGAAATAAAACCTTAATTTTTAAAACTCACTATGAAAAAGTTCAAACATACACAGAAGAGAACAGTACAAATTAACCCATACCATTCTCCTCTAACATCACTCCACTTCACCAGTGATCAATCATGACCAATACTGCTTTATCTCTATACCCCTATCTTTTATTTTCTCTAGATACCAAGTCATTTCATCTCTAAACATTTCAGAAAAACCTTGTAATTCTGGCTCAACAGTGACAGAACTGGTGGGGGGGAGGAGGTTGTGTTTTATTTCTCATTGCCTCTAATTTTCAATACCTATGTCATTGGAAGAGATTAAGCTGGTGTTTATTGAAAGCAAGGAGAAGAAAATTTAGATTTTTCAGTTTTTCTGGCATATCTAGGGCTTAAAAACATTTGTAAACTTTTCTCCTCCCTCCAGTGAAGGAGACATGGCTGGTAAGATATAGTTATTTGGGGGCGACCTTCTGGCCCCTGCCCCCAGCCCCCCTGCCTCCTACGCACTTGGCCAGCTCAGCCTGTTCCTTCACAAGGATGCTAAGACCACCAGTGAGCCCTTGACCAAGTCCCAAAAACACAACTGTGATTCCCAAGCTCCAGCAAGAAATGGCCCTCAAGCCAAAAAGAAAAAAGAGAGATAGTCATTCAGTTCAACAAACATTAACTGAGGACTAGGAATAGGACAAGGTAAAATGAGTAAAAATATTCAAGATCCCTTCTCTAGAATGGATGAGACACACATAAATAGGTAATGTCAATAAAATGTGGAAATGCTAGAATAATAAAATTCACAGGATACTATGGGAACAGAATAAGGGCACTCACACAAAATTAGGTATTCAAACAAACAAGGTTTCCAGGAAGAGATGATACCTGAGTAAATGCAAAAATACCACAAATGATTGTTACTATGTCATTATAATAATTCCAATAAGAAGTTTCTTTCAAACAGATTTCCTTCATTTAGTTGGTTGGGGAATTGGGTGATGAGGGGTTGGGAGGGGAACTCATCAAAGAATATTAGGAAGAAAGCAAAACACCAAGAATTCAAAACAACCACTATATAATGTCTTCTGGGGAATACCATAGGGAAAAGGGCTTGGTCTCTAGTCCCAAGGAGATAGAAATCTAAGTGGGAAGAAATTAAACATGCATCTGAAAACCTTATTATAGAATATTCAATCAAAATATAGTTTAGGGATGGGAAGAATAGACTAAAATATTTGAGTAAGAGCTGGGACTTAAACCAACCTTTTGAATATAAATTTACCCCAGATTAGAAAGGGAAGCTAATCAAGTAAGTAATAATAAAATGAATCTGAAGTGGTCAAGGAGGCTTTGTCCTTAAAATGTATTCCTTCATTCTGTCCATCTCTGAATGAGTGAAGCAGGCAGGGGAAAGTCTTTTATTCAAACCTTAGTTTCCAAAGAGGTGTGTATACACGTGTGTTTGCATGTGTGTCACGGATGTTAGTGTCAGAACATGATGGTTTGATTTGAGCATTTGCAATGTGACTCAGATATTCCACTGGAATAATACACAATGTCAAGTGCATGCAAAGGTCTACTCTGGCAGATATCTGATTCTTGGGGAGAAAGTAAAAATTAAAACACGTAAAAATGAAAGCTGCAAAAGATACATAAGAAAATTCAATCAACACTATGAGATTAAAAAAATATTCTCCGATTGTCATCAGAGATCAATGCCTCACCACTTCTAATTCTCCTTTCAGTAGCAATGACAGCATCAGCTAACACTTAAACAGCATCTATTATGTGGCAATCTCTATATAATTGACTCACTTAATCTTCCAAATGAGTTATGAGGTAGATTCTCTTATACAGGAGGTAATGGAGATACAGAGATTAATATATTCTTTCCTCACCTCCAGTTTTTTGACCTTTACTTGTCAGAATTTAAGTCAGAGGTAAAAAAAAAAAAAAGATCTGTAGGATTTCTCTGAGTACAGGCTGAAGTCTAATATTTTTATAAGTTCAGAAAAATTACTTATACCCTTCAGTGACTCAAGTGAAATGATGTGTGACAGTGTGTTGGCACGGAGCCATAAACACAAATGTAAAATCAATCCATGAGGCTAAGAGATAGTGTTGCAAATAGAAACATGCTCTAAAAATGGCATGTTTATCAACAGACCAAAGAACAATCTCTGGGTATTTCCCACGGGACTGAAGAATGCATCTTTTTCATAATACTTACACAGAGATAAATGACCATATCATAAACAGCAATAAAGGAAGCCAGTGGTAAAAAAGCATTTGAAATAACTTTTGTCCCTCCTGAGCAGTAGAAAAATATTACTCCCTAGGTAGAGTTCGTTGCTTTTTCTTCCAAGCTCTGAAAGTACCTTATATGTAGCTATCCCCAGCATGTGTATATTACATTATAACATAATTATGTGTTCATGTAGTATCTTCCCTCCAGACTATGAGTCCTGCAGCAGAGGGTCTCAATATTCATCCTGGGATTTAAAACCCATCTGGCATCTAGCAGAATGAAGGCTTACTGGATGAATAATTGAGTGATTTGATAGGTGACTTTTAATAAACTCCCAGGCACTACAAAGTGTTACAGGAAAGTTTAACATATCAGTGAAGGGGCGCCTGGGTGGCTCAGTGGGTTAAAGCCTCTGCCTTCGGCTCAGGTCATGATCCCAGGGTCCTGGGATCGAGCCCAACATCGGGCTCTCTGCTCAGCGGGGAGCCTGCTTCTGCCTCTCCCTCTCTGCCTGCCTCTCTGCCTACTTGTGATCTCTGTCTGTCAAATAAATAAATAAAAACTCTTTAATATATGAATGAAGTTGTGTTTGCTATCTTAAGAGTATATTCCAGTCTCTCTTGCCTGGCATTTAAGACCCTTCTATGTGGCCCTAATCTACCTTCTTAACCTCTCTCATCTACTCCCTCCTCCCAGTTATATACTGAGTATGAATTACTTTCTCTTTCTGACACAAGCTCTGTACTTTCTTATCTCTGTGCTTTAACTCCATAATCTCCCTAGGAAAAAACACCTGAGCCTACTTATTTAACACTGTGTTAATATGTTTACTATAAAACAATCATAAAAATAGAAGAAGACAGACATTTTAAACAAATGAGGAAAAAATACTTAAATAGATTTTTAATTTTTTTCTTCCTGTACACAGTGGATTGCTTTGGACATACTTTGAGAAATCACTGATTTACATGAAAAGAACAAATTTCATACAGTTTTTGTGAGAATTAAGTGAGCCAACACGTTTAATGCACTTAGAACAGTGCTTGGCATGAAGGCCAAATTTAAATGTTAACTCTTCAAAGAATTATTTGAATGCATCTCTTCTGAGGTTGGGATTTCTCGCTGTAGGAGGCGCTAATCTTACAGAGTTTAGCAAGAGGCCAAGCCTAAGAAACCAAAATAAAGCAGAAACTTGGAAAGGTTGGGTTTATAGAATATGATGGAAAAGAAAAAGATATAATTGTTAGCCCCAAGAAAAATACAGTACCCAAAAAGGAAATATAATCACACTATGCTATCTGGCTCTACAATACATGATGTTTATATAGGACTAATCATACAAACACTGGCTCTTTAACTTTAACCAAAAGTTGTGATATAACTAAACAGAAAAAATGGGGTATTAACACAGGCCCTCAAATCTTCAGTTTTTATTAGCAAAGAGCTAAAGTTTAGGCATGTTATTTTAAAACTTGGAGATACATATCAGAAGAAACAGCTAAAATATTCCAGCAATGATTTCTGAGGAATGTGATTAGGAAGGTAGAATACTTCAGCACTATTTAATTTTGAAATTTTGTGTAGGTATTATACCAATTAAACTTTGAAAATAAAGTCAATTTTCTGGGGCGCCTGGGTGGCTCAGTGGGTTAAAACCTCTGCCTTCGGCTCAGGTCATGATCCCAGGGTCCTGGGATAGAGCTCTGCATTAGGTTATCTGCTTGGTGGAGAGCCTGCTTCCCTCCCTCTCTCTGCCTGCCTCTCTGCCTACTTGTGATCTCTGTCAAATGAATAAATAAAATCTTTAAAAAAAAAAAGAAAATAAAGCCAATTTTCTTAAATTTAAAAATTAATAGCCTCCCACCTACAGATGGCAGGTTGAACGCATATGTCCAACTCTACTCTCTCCAGAACTCTCAGTGACATACCAGAGAAAAGATGTAGAAAGGCACAAAAGAGAAAAAGATGAGAAATTTAATGCAGGAGTTTCAGGAATCATATAATAAGACTCCAGGGTGAAAGAAGGGAGAAAATGGAGAAAGAAAAAAAAAATCAAAGAAATCATTCAAAAACCTTTCCTAGAACTGAAGAACACGAATTTTTTAGACCGAAAGGGTCAAACAATGTCCAACAAAACAGACAAAGTATATCCAAACCAGGGCACATCAACGTGAAATTTGATAACAAGAGGAAAAAAGGGATCTTGCAAGCTTCAAAAGAAGTTATGTCCAGTGAGATCAGCAGTGAGAACAGCACCTGTTATTCTTCTCGATGGTTAACAGAAGTTAAAAGGCAAATGAAGCAAAGCCTTGAAAATTCAAAAAGAAACAATTTTATATCCAGTCAACCTATTCATGTAAAAAACACTTTATAACACGCAAAGGCTTTCATGCCTTCTAAGGAATCTATGAAAAAATGTGTTCATACGAAACAAGAGAACCAAGCCAAAAAAAAAAAAAAAAAAAAAAAAAAAAAAAAAGGGTCGGGGGGAGATGTGGAATTCAGGAAATCCGAAGGTTCTGTTTATCAGATGATATTAAAAGTGTCATGAGTTTCTTGGTTTTAGGAAGATGAAATCCACACAAGGCATACCGTTGCTTTTTGAAATGTTAAAATAGTTCATGTGCTCTTAGATTTACACAGTTTTGCTTTTACAGCAGACTGAGGATAAAAGAGATTACAAGAGGCTTTAACTCTTACCTGTAGTACAGCAGCAAATAAGTACACCACAATGAAGATCACAGTTAAAGAAGTGTGACCACTTTTCATCAAGTGAATAGTGTAGAGGAAAATTAAATGTCCAGGAATCACGAGAAGCAGGAGAACCTGAGCAGACTTATTATTCACTCCTGTAGTAGAAAATGTAAAAGTTAAAACAAGATCCTATTGGGTTACTAATAGGTCACAGTTATTAAAATTTAAGGATTACTTTCATGTTACTATACTAAATAGCATCACATAAAATTCTGTTGCTAACAATACATTTCAACCACTCACAGTTTACTTAATTCTTTGAAATTCTCATTATATGTTATATGCTAATTGAATGGCAGGAAGTTGATAAAAACTTGCTATGAAGAACACTGGTCAGACTTTAGTATCTATCATAGTAATAGAGGGAAGACAAAAGAAAATATATAAAGTTCTTAAAGCAAAGAAATGTTCTAATTTTACTTTTCCTTTAGAGTTCTTTCACTGATATTTCACTGGGCATTTCTTTTTTTTTTTTTTTTAAGATTTTATTTATTTATTTGACAGAGAGAGATCACAAGGAGGCGGAGAGGCAGGCAGAGAGAGAGAGAGGAGGAAGCAGGCTCCCTGCTGAGCAGAGAGCCCAATGTGGGACTCGATCCCAGGACCCTGAGATCATGACCTGAGGTGAAGGCAGAGGCTTGACCCACTGAGCCACCCAGGCGCCCTCACTGGGCATTTCTGATCCTCATTCAGAGTGATCTGAAGGGGCACATGCACCCCAATGTTTATAGCAGCAATGTCCATAATAACCAAACTATGAAAAGACCCCAGATGTCCACTGATGGATGGATGGATAAACAAGATGTTTACACACACACACACACACACACACACACACACACACACACACACAATGGAATATTATGCAGCCATCAAAAAGTGAAATCTTGTCGTTTACAATGACATGGGTGGAGCTACAGGCTATTACGCTATGTGAAGTAAGTCAATGAGAAAGACCATTATCAAATGATTTCACTCATGTATGGAATTATGAAATAAAACAGAGGAGCATAGGGGAAGGGAGGGAAAAATAAAACAGGACAAAATCAAAGAGAGAGACAAACCATAAAAGACTTTTAATCATAGGAAACAAACTGAGGGTTGCTGGAGGGGAGGGAGATGGGGGGAATGGGGTAACTGTGTAGTGGACATTAAGGAGGGGACTTGATGTAATGAGCACTGGGTGTTATATGCAACTGATGAAACACTTAATTCTACCCCTGAAACCAATAATACACTATGTTTTAACCAAATTGAACTTAAATTTTTTAAAAAGCCAAATATAACCTTTATTTTCATCAGAAAAGAAGTGAGAAGAATTGTGGGGTTTAATCCTGTGGTCACAATTCTTTGGTAGTCACTGGCTGGGTGACACTACTCCTTGTTAGGGAGGTTCCCCTCTCCTCCTGTTTGCTTGGGATCAAATGCCTACATCCAGAAAAGCCAAAAGGATTACTATAGGAAAGACAGTATATCTGTCTCTCTAAATCACCTAGCAAAGCTTTCCTATGTGTATAAGGTTCCTCCTTTTTTTTTTTTTTTAAAGATTTTATTTATTTATTTGATAGAAAGAGACACAGCGAGAGAGAACACAAGCAGAGGAGTGGGCTCCCCGTGGAGCAGGGAGCCAGATACCAGGCTTGATCCCAGGACCCTGGCATCATGACCCGAGCTGAAGGCAGACATTTAATGACTGAGCTTGACCCAGGTGCCCCATGGTTTTTCCTTCTTGACCGGTGAACAAGGCATCCCAGAGAAAAGGATGAAAAAGAAAAAGTATACAAAGTTCCTCAGCAACTGCAGAATTGATACAAATGACTTTCTCTCACTGAGATTTAATGGACACAATCTATTCTATTTAAAAACTACTCAGGTCTCAGGAATAAAAAAGTCACATCAAACTGACAAAATATGTGTTCAGCAAACGTTGCCCGTCTCTATTCTCAGAGAATTATTCCTGATATAAAATATGTAAAAATCCAAAGGCACATACCTGGTCCAAAAAAAGTTCTAAATGGGTAGTAACAACCTTTGGGTTCATCAGGCAGTTCTCCTGGAATGCTATGTAAATGGAGGTAGGTAGAAATCCTGCTAGCCTGAATGGCCACCAAATTACCACCAATACCTGAAACATAAGGACAAACAAAGCAGTTATCATCATATTTCAAACAATTTGCATAAATGTGACCAAGCAAGGCTCTTCATGTTATAGCGTGGGCCAATAAAACAAACAAAAAAGAATCCTTCTGAAATGTTGACTTATTTAATGTTGAGCTAGGTATTCCAAAGACATAAAGTCATTGTTATGAATTATTTTTTTTTAAATCTGACTCACGGCCTGAAAGCAGACCAGACTAAATAATTTTTTTAGTGACTATCATGGCCAAGATACAGGTAGCAAGGTGTTTAATGCTTATCATCTTAACAAGAAGAAAAATAAGCTTGATTTTTTTCAAATAGGGAAGTCTTGAAATTTCTCTTCCCAGGTTACTAGAGAAATTAGTACCAGGGACTGAAAAAAATACTCAAGAAAATCATCTTTCAAGCTCAATTATCCTCTCAAATACTTTACAGACCTGCCCTACAAGAAACATGAAAGGAATTTCTCTTGGTAAAAGGAACATAAAACCAGATGGAAATCTGGAACTACACAAAGGAAAGAAGGGTGCTAGAAATGTAAAATAAATTAGAAAATTAAAAGGATATCATTTTCTCATTTTTAATCTCTTTAAAAAATAACCGGCCATTTAAAGCAAAAATGATGACGATGTATATGGGGCTTACAACAAAGTAAAATGTATGACAAAAAGAGCACATGAGAAAGAGAAATGAAAATCCAAGTATACTGATGTAAGGTCCTTACCCTTTCTGTAAATGGGCTCAATTATTATTTGAAAGTACTCTGTGATAAAGATATTTATAAGCCCTAGATCAGTAGTTCCCAAAGAACAGTCAGGGGTCTGAAGGAAGGTTAGTTGTTGAAATCCTAACCCCTTGCTAGCAGAGGTCCCAGAAGGAGAGCTTCACAGTACATATTAGCATGATAAAGGCTTTAAGAAATCCTGTAGTAAAGAAATCTATTTGACCTAATGCTTCCCAAACTTAATTGGCCACAAAACTTCTCAAGGTATGCTATTAATCTCACAGAACTAGTATTCTTATGAAATCTATTTCAGAAAATGCTACTACTTCTGTGAGACGTTAATAAGTGTTAAAAGATATCCTCATCAAAATATCAACATTGATATGCCTTACTTTAAACTGTGTATTTTTGTAACCCATAAAACAGATAAATTAGCACTTATTGTGGGGGCTGGGGGAAGCACAGGCTTTGGAATCAAGCAGGTCTGGGTTTAAATGCTGAGTTACCACTTACTAGATGTGAGATGTTGGACACATTACTCTGTTATGGTGAGGATGAAATGATGTAACATGCACAAAAGACCTGCATGTTATCTGGCACATAGTAGGTACTCACTCAATAGTTAGCAAATGATGATGATGATGATGGTGTGTTATTTAGGAGCCCTTTAATAATTTTTTTTTTAAGATTTTATTTATTTATTTGACAGATAGAGATCACAAGTAGGCAGAGAGGAAGGCAGAGAGAGAGGAGGAAGCAGGCTCCCTGCCGAGCAGAGAGCCTGATGCGGGGCTCGATGCGGGGCTCGATCTCAGGACCATGGGATCATGACCTGAGCCGAAGGCAGAGGCTTTAACCCACTGAGCCACCCAGGCGCCCCTTTAGGAGCCCTTTAAATCACACATCCTCTAGCACATTTAGTATGAAATTCGATTTTCAAAAGTTCTGTCTTTTTTGAGGACCATGGAAGGAATCTTCTCTATCAATGTTTCTAACCAGTGGAATTTAACATAAAGTGAGCTCATTGTGAGATCCCACTAAGAGATTCACTTACTGAGATACAAAAAAGATTTTACTACCACGAATACCATGGCTTCCAAGGACAGCACTCCAGGAAGGCTCAAGAATCGTTCCTTACATAAGGTGAAATAACAGGAACACTGATTCAAACCTTCCTAATGATGGGGTTGTTATAATTTAAAATTTTCTCTGAAATATTGGGCAATATAGCTCTAACAGTATTGGTGGTAGTATTTATGCTAGTGACTTCATTAACTAATATTCACAGAAGAGGATTTGAACAGGTGGATGAAAAGCAGTAATCATTCCAGGCAATGAAAATTAGGTCTTTGTAGGGCCATGAAATAGGAATCTGGTTAGAAAGATAAAGGAAAAAGTTGTACACATCCAAAAGCATATAGGGGGCTTTGAAAGTGAAGCAGAAGAATTCAAACTTGATTTGACAGGCAGGAGGAAGCCACTGATAAGTTCATCATCTTTTTTTTTTTTTTTTAAGATTTTATTTATTTATTTGACAGAGAGAGATCACAAGTAGGCAGAGAGGCAGGCAGAGAGAGAGGAGGAAGCAGGCTCCCCACCGAGCAGAGAGCCCGATGCAGGGCTTGATCCCAGGACCCTGAGATCATGACCTGAGCCAAAGGCAGAGGTTTTAACCCACTGAGCCACCCAGGTGCCCCTGGTTCAGCATCTTAAGATTGAGGTAATAAAAACAATGTTTAAGAAAGACTAGCCTGCTAGTGACAGTTAATTGGCATTGAGTAGGGAGTGGGTCAGGAAAGCTACTTTATGACTTCAGTGATGGCTGAAGTAAGACATCAGCAGACTTGGGGCGCCTGGGTGGCTCAGTGGGTTAAGCCGCTGCCTTCGGCTCGGGTTGTGATCTCAGGGTCCTGGGATCGAGCCCCGCGTCAGGCTCTCTGCTCGGCGGGGAGCCTGCTTCCTCCTCTCTCTCTGCCTGCCTCTCTGCCTGCTTGTGATCTCTGTCTGTCAAATAAATAAATTTAAAAAAAAAAATTAAAAAAAAAAAAGACATCAGCAGACTATAGCGCTGAAACATTCTTATACAAAAAGTGAACAAGTGAATTATGTTAATGGGCAAATCAATGAGATCTGATCATTGTCTATTCAAAGAGGGTGAACAGCTGCGTTGATGGTTCTGTGATTTTAAGGGTGGATGATGGGGGGTAGGGGCACTAGGAAAATTGGAAAGGGTATCTAGAGGGGAAATTTCTTCATGGACATTTTACAGTTATGCAAAAATGTAAATGTTCAAGTGAAATTTTAGGTCTGAAGTTAGATTTTGGGGAACTTGCCTTCATATAACATTATTTTATTACACATAAATATATGAAAGCAATTTATATTAAATGTGTAGCATATCCTGTGACATGTTTTCCCTCAGGTAGAATGACTTTTTAAATTATACTGGCACAAACTGTACTAAAATCCAATATAATGACACCCAGCCCAAAAGTCAGTATGCCTAGATTAAAATTATCTTACTAAATGGAATTCATACCAAAAAGGCCTGTGTACCTAAGTATTATAATTCCCATTTTATAGGTAAGAAAAAAATATAAGGCAGATCTTAAAGGGAGCCATAAAGGAGTGACAGATTTTGGTGAATCGAATTGACTTAAGCAATGCTTAAACCTAGCTAACTCTAATTGATCCACAAAAATCGACAGGAGCAGTAGCAAAACATGAGACAGCAGATAAACCCAAAGTCAATGATAATCCAGAACTGAAATATCCTATTTCGCCACACTAATCTTAAAAATCAAGTATGCTCGACTCTTAAACCAATATCAAGTAAGAGTAAGAAACAGTTCTTTTCAAAAATAGGTTGTGCATACTGAGAACAGGGAATGTAATTTCTACCATGAACACCAACCTGGGGGTGGGGGGGAGAATGGAAGGGAGGGGGAGATACACCTCTTAAACTGTGAACCCTAAAATTCCTGTTCCTGACTAAGAGTATATATAATGATTTGATACCATTGTGAAACAGGATATCTAATTCTTACCATTAATAACTGGCGTGTAAACAACAATCCCAACCAAGTTTGGATCAGATACGGTTGTGTCCAGAATAAGGCCCCCAATGCTGGAAGATAGAAAATTGTATAATTTAGGGAAGAGAAATAAGTGTACTAAATTTAAAGTTGCTCTTTACACACAAACACCTGTACTTTAAAAACAATTTTTTTAAAAATTATTTTTTAAAAATTTTTAAAATTTTAAATTAAAAAAAATTTTTTTTTAACATTTAAAAAGTAGAATAAAAAGGAAAAATAGTCCGAGTAAAAATCAGTGAAACAGTGAAACTTTGAAAATAAAACATTGAATAAGCTCTAGGCCTGCATGTCAGGGCTCTCCTCCTGATCTCTAAGATATGTTCCTTAAAACAGGAAAAGAATATGCTTTAGATGCATTAAAATATCTGGAAGGATATATAAGAAACTATTAACCATGTCTATCTCTGGGTGGAGGGACTAACAGAAGACTTGATGATTATTTTATGTCCTTCTGTATTTACTAATTTTTAAAAACCATGTGCATTTATTGCTGTTCCAATTTAAAAAATAGTTGTTACTTTTTTTTAAGTGAGCTCTACACCCAACGTGGGGCTTGAACTTATGACTCTGACCCGGAGATCAAGAATCTCATCATCTACCAACTTGACCCAGGCAGGTGCCCCTAAAAAATGGTTTTTTAAAAGAGTATTTCTTCGTATTTGAAATTAACAAGGCATTAGAGGCATCATTTTTATTGTGTGAAAACTAGATAGGTGTAGCATCTTATCATTGGTAATGAGTTGTAGCCATAGAAATAATGAGTTGTGGCCATAGAAAGGGCTGATTTTGAGGACAGAGGTCTGGAAAAATAATCTATACAGGAGCAAGCCATGTACTCTGAAAGTCTCCATGGAGCTTGGAGATTTGTTAAGTTTCCATGACTGTTACCAATTGGTTAGCTTCAGTTTCTTGGTCTAAATCCTATAAAACATTGCCAGTCCCTATACTCTGTGGGATCCTGTTGCCTAAATCTTCTAGGAAAATGCAATCTACATTACAGAAAAATAAACCCCATGTTATCAGAGAATGGGGTTGATTGTCAAAATATCAGATCAAATGTTCTACCATTACCTGATAGTTAACATTAGGAACTTACTATTTTAATTTTTTAGTAAAATAAATGAATTGTGGCTTGCTATACCTAAATTAATAGGACTTCCCATTAAAAGTTACATTGTAAAATCCCAAAGGAGTCATCCTTAAGAGTATTTTATTAAAGTCTCACTTTAAAAATATATGTATTTCATAGAACAAACGAGTTATTGCCAAAGAATAAATTTCTGTGCCAAAATGCACAGGTTCATGCTGTGACCATAACACGAACACTTGCTAAAATACATCTTAAAATGTTTTTCTGACCTAGGTAACAAAATATTATAGGAAAAATTAGAAAAGACAAACAAAAAGAAGAAAATAAAAATCAACCTCAGTGCTATCATTCAGCATTATACTGTTATCATATTGGTATATAGCCTCCCAGACATTTTTAAACACGTAGATTTTTAAAAATAAAAGCTCACATTGTAAAAGTGGCTTTCTCTTCACTTGTATTAAATTTTATTTTTATCGAATAAACATGCACATTATTTAAAAAGTGAAAGTACCACAAAGCTTATTACATAGTCCCTAGCCCCCACTCCCAGAACCTGTTCTCCACTAGTAATTCTTTTCAACTTCTTTAGCTGTTTCTTCTGGTGTTTAATGCTCTATTTCTAAATAACATGTTTATACTGTGATTTCCTGATTTTAAATTTTAGAGATTTACCTAACGACCTCCACTATGACAGATGGGGACTTAATCTCACTTGCCCTTCCCCTCCCCACTTGGGATCCTTCATAATTCCCTTCCTCCTATCCTGCCAACTTGGTTATAACAATTCTGGGTGAAAAATATTTAGGGTTTATTGTAACAAGGAAATCATTATTCACAACTGAACCATCAAATGTATTATTAGATTTCCTCACTTTTATTTGTTGCTTTGGCCCATATTTTTCCCAATTTTGGGGGTACTTACTACCAATTTGCTTTCAACTTTCTAACAAAGTTAATGAAATGCTTCTGAATACAGTCAAACATCAGGTAACTCATCAATTCCACTTTTGTTTCCTAGAGAAAATCCTCCGTAAGTCCTCTGTCCTGCCAACCCAGATGGTGGCCTCTAGGCACATTACACGGCTGTCACCCTTCACCTTCCTTCAGTCTCCCACACTGGGTCTTGGTCTGTACGCCATGACCAAGTCCCAACATTTCATAGGACCCTATTGTCTGAATCTTCCAGGAAAAAACAATCTACATCACAGAAAAATGAACCATCTGCTCTCATAGAATGGGTTTCCTCATTCCTGTGTCACCTTTCTTGATTTATTTCCTTATTTTGATAGATCATTATCTTCTACCAGAGTTGATATGAAAGGGCATATGGGAAGTAAACTTTTTGAGATCCTGGCTGTCTAAAAATTTCTTGATTCCACCCCTACATCTGGCTGATATTGCAACCACAACTTATGTTCAAAATAATCTCCCTTCAGAGTTTTGAAGAAGTAAGTTTAGGTGTTGCTATTGGACATCATTCAGGTTCCCAATGCTTCATGTATAACTCATCTTTTTTCTCTAGAATATTTTGGGATTTATAGTAGTGTCCTTTGATTAGGCTCTCTCTTGGCATTCACTGTGCTAGGTACTTAATGGGCCTAACAAGCTGGAAGCCCGTGGTCTTCAGTCCTGGGGAACTTTCTTGTATTATTTCTTTGATAATTTCTTCTCCTTATGGTTTGCCTCCAGGTGCCCGCCTCCGCTTTCTGTTCTATTTTCCAGAACAGTATCTCTGCTCTATCTTCTAACTTTTGAGTTTTTTAAAGATTTTATTTATTTAGGGGCACCTGGGAGGCTCAGTCAGTTAAGCATCTGCCTTCTGCTCAGGTCATGATCTCGGGGTGCTGGGATCGAGCCCCTCATTGGGCTCCCTGCTCAGCAGAGAGCCTGCTTCTCCTTCTCCCTCTGTCCTTGCCCCTGGGCTCATGCTTTCTCTCCTTCTCAAATAAAAATCTCTTAGAAGATTTTGTTTATTTGTTTGTGAGAGAGAGCAGGAGAAGGAGCAGAAGGAGAGGGATAAGCAGACTCCCTGCTGCCACAGAGTCCAACACAGGTCTCTGTGCTCAGGTCATGATCAGGTCAGATCATGACCTGAGCCAAATCAAGTCAGTTGCTTAACCGACTGAGCCACTCAGGTGCCCCTATGTAGTCTTAATTCCCAAGAGCTCTTCCTACTTCTTAAATCCTCCTTATTAGAGCATTCTGTTCTTGCATTATGGATGCCATACATTCTCTTACTGCTCTGAAGACACTGAGGAGTTTTTTGAGGTCTTTCAACTATCCCTGTACTTTCTTTAGGTACCATTTTTCTGCTTTCTGTCTCTCATGTTAGAAGCCTTAATCAAATGTCCGGTGATCCTTTCACTGTCGGCTTCTCCGTGAGGGGCACTGCAGAGCACACTTGGAGCTTTCTGTGTATGGAGGCAGAGCTCATCAGAGGGCAGGCTTCCTGAAGAAGCATCAGGTGCACAAGCAGCTCTTTCACTAAGGGACCCACAAGGGTCAATATCCACAAGTTTTTCTTTTGTGCTGATGAGTTTTCCCAGAAAAGAATTATTCTAATTTTTTGCCTGGGGGTAGAGGCCTGACTGCCAACATTCCATGAGCAAAGACTAAGAAGTGGCATAGGGTTTTCACTGTTCAGCCTCTAGATTTTCACTTAATCCTATTTTTCATACAGTGTGTAACTTGCACCCTCACATGTGCAGGTGTTTCCAAATCCACATACTCTCTGGTTCAGTCTCTCAGAGTGAATTCTTGTCTTCTGCCAAGTGGGGGTGGGGAAGAGGGTGGTCCCCCTGGTGGTCAAGCTGGAGAAGGGCTTTTAGGATCTAAATGCCTCTTGAATAAACTTTCCACCGATGATCTTCATTTCAGCTCTGAGAAGTACTTAGTGCCTCTATTTCCTCCACCTCTCCGGGTTTCTGAGGCTCTCAGACCCACTTGCTTCTTATGGGTGTCCCCTCATCCTGCAGGAGGTGAGGTTTTAGCTTTTTCCATTCTGCTAGTTCAGTTAAAAATCATCTGATTCCTATTTTACTAATTCTGTAGAATCTCGCACCTGCTGTCCTCTCTGCTCCCCTTCTGTTTGTGGTTTTATAGCTTTTCTGTTCTATTTACTGTCATTTTAGTAGTTTCAGGAAGGAAGAACATAAATGTGGGTCAAGACACCATGTTTAACAGGAAATTTGTACTCTTTTCTAGCTTGCTCTTTTCACCAAATGTGCAGTGAACATCTTTCCATGTCAATACAAACTTTGTTATTTTTAGTGGTGAATATTCCATTTGGTGACTACACTACCATTTACTAGATTGATAGCTGGTTGCTAGACCTCTAAGGTGATCTCTTTAGTTGTTGTTGTTAAAAATCCCACTGTGATGGGGATCCTTACAACTTTATTGTTTGCATATATCCTTAGTCATACCCTGTGTCCTGTTGGAGTGTCAGTAGTCAAATGGCATGTCCATTTCTAAGGCTTTCTGATACTTATGTGAATACCTTATTATTAAAAATAAGTAAAGTCGGGTTAACACACACACACACACACACACACACACATACACATACATACACACCATGAAACCTTACTCATCAATCTGGTAAGGATTTGATTAGAAAAAAGTTTGAAACTGGTCTACAGATTTCAATAATTCCTGGGATTAATTTCTCTATTACCTGTGATTAAAAAAAAAAAAAAAGACCTGGCTATATAAGATAATTGAACCAAGAAATAAAAATAGGCTGCTGATATTTTAATATATACACAGGTACAGGTATACAGAACACATTTACACACACATTTTAATACTAACCTACTTATAACCATAGCTGTTATGACAGGCTCCCAGCCCGAGTGGAGAACTGTCCTTGTGGCTGGATGTTTAGCAGCTATTATAATCCAGATAGGAGTTAGAGCCAAGAAAAAGACACCAACTAATGGAGAAATGTAGTAATAGTTGTCTAAAATTAAAAAAGAGACAATATTTCAATCTCTCTTCTAATCATGTAGCAAATATAGATATTAAAAGTACAAGTTTCCCAGGAGATAGGATGTTATCCAACATATTCACAGGCTATGTATTTTCTCTAAACTTCACACAAATTTAAAACTGTGGATAAGAAAAAAAAAACTGTGGATAAGGTAAAAATATTAAATAATGTAACTGAAAATCAATACATGAATCCAACAAACATTTACTGAAATAGCTATCTGAGCTGGATAAGAACTGCCATAATAACAGGAAGGACGATAACAGTAAAAAACCATCATTTATTTGGCTTCTATTATTGACCAAGTACTGTGCTAAGTGACTTTTAGGCAACATCTCATGTGACCGTCCTCACAAGTATGAGGTATACTGCCGTTCCTATGTTATGAAGAAACTAAAGCTTCGGAGCTTAAGAACATGGCTAGGAAATAGGGAGAGTCAGGAAAAGATGGCATCTGATATCAAAGTTAGTAACTCTTTTTTTTTAAATATTTTATTTATTTATTCGACAGAGAGAGAGAGAGAGCACATGCACACACACAAGCAGGGAGAAGCAGCAGGTAGAGAGGGAGAGGGAGAAGGAGAATCCCCTCTGAGCAAGGAGTCCCATGTGGGACTCAATCCTGGGACCCTGGGATCATGACCTGAGTGGTCCTGGGATCCTGGGATCATGACCTGAGTGGAAGGCAGCTACTTAACCAATTGAGCCACTCAGGCGCCCCAAAGTTAGTAACTCTTAACTCTAAAGTTAAATGGGATATTATTTTTACTTACAAGGATCTTACAGTACAAGCATTCCAAGGAATGCTGGCCAATCAATTGATAATAGATAGCCCCGATACTAAATAGTGTTCCAAGCTCCAAAATAAAATAGAAAAACTAGGGGTGCCTGAGTGGCTCAGTGGGTTAAAGCCTCTGCCTTTGGCTCAGGTCATGATCCCGGGGTCCTGGGATTGAGCCCCCTATCAGGCTCTCTGCTCAGCAGGAAGCCTGCTTCCTCCTCCTCTCTCTCTCTGTCTGTCTGTCTCTCTCTCTGCCTGCCTATCTGCCTACTTGTGATCTCGGTCTGTCAAATAAATAAATAAAATCTTAAAATAATAAAATAAAATAAAATAGAAAAACCAAGTTTAATAAAAGTAAACACCTCTCTTCACTGCTGAACTTCTCAGAACCCTTAATATGCTAAGACAGAATACAGTACACTGTGTTAACCGTAGTTTGGCCAGATCATCTAGTTTCACATCTTGGTGTTATAACCTACCTCGGACAAGAAATTTCACTCCTATAAACTTCAATTTCCTTATCTATAAAAGGGCAATAGTAATAGTATCTATTTCATGGAGGTATTGTGACTCTTAAGAGAATGAGTACATCTAAGTAGAATAGTGCCCAAGCACCTAGCTAATATTCATCGAACACTTGCTGTCATCATAATTATCACTGCCATTATCATTAACATCTTGTTATCTGGAACACACTGAGATAGCAGATTGCCAGGACTTTGCTATGACCCCTTTGTGGTAAACTGTCTTACTTGATCACAATTACTCATTCTCTCTCCATTCTTGTTATGCTTCCCTACAGAGTGAATATATTTCTCTGCCTCATTGACTTTGGGCTTAGCTATTTGTCTTGCTTTGTAGACATGCTGTATGTCACCTCTGAACAAAATTTTAAGTGCTTTCAGAAATGACTAGTTCTCCCAGTTCTCCTTGTTAAAATATTAGATAAGGGTAAATAACATCCCAATTAGAAGGCAATTCTTACCTCCTAACAACTAAGATTAACAACGACCTCTTTATAGGATCAAACAGGAAACTAAAGGCAAAATCCACTAAACACAAGTGAAAAGAACTATTCTGCTAGGTCAGATCATCTTACGACTTCATTACCCTTTTCATTTTACTACGTCAAAAGAGGAGCACCCTACTCAGCTTTTAAGTTACTCTCAACATTAAATCTCTGGAAGGGCACCTGAAGTGGAAAGAGGCACCCACCACCTCAACCCCAGAAACACCACTTGAACTTTCAGAGCAGGGTAAAATTTTCTCAGTACATAAGCTAAAAATAACAAGTGGGCAGTTCCTTAAAAAGTTAAACAGAGTTATTATATATTCCACTGCTAGGTAAATACCAAGAGAACTGAAAACATATGTTCACACAAAAACTTGTGTAAGTGTGTTCATAGCCTCATTTCTTCATAATAGTCAAAAAAATGGAAGCAACCCAAACGTCCATGAATTGGTAAATGGATAAACAAATGTGGTATATTCATACAATGGAATATTATTCAGGACTGACTCATGCTGCAAGGCAGGTGAAACTTGAAAACATACTAACTGAAAGGAGCTGGACATAAAAGGTTATATGTTGGATGATTCAATTTTTTTGGAAATGTCTAGAACAGGCAAACCCATAGAAGGTAGATTACTGGTTGCAGGGTCTGGGCAAAGGGTAGAATGGGGAGTGATAGCTACAGGTTTCTTTTGGGGTGATGAAAATGTTCTGGAATTATACAACAGATTGTACAATGTTACAGATGTACTAAAAATCATTGAATTGTACACTTTTTAAAGGTGAACTGTGTGGCATGCGAACTGTAGCTCAATTTTTAAAAATTCTAACAATGAAAAAAAGGAGGGGGAACTATAGTTTTCAAAAATGTCAGTCTTAAAGACAAAGAAAAAACATATACAAATATATATACATACATATATAGAGAGACAGAGAATAAAAGACAAAGCAAATGGGATAAAATGTTAACATTAAATGTATCTAGGTCCGGGATATGCAGAACTTTAAAAAGTAGGGGAAAACATGATAGAAATAAACATTTCTAAAATTGATTTACTGTAAACACGTTCTATCTCAATTCCCTGCCAAGTCTAATAAGCTCATTCCTACCAAACTATGATTGCATGGGACACTCCTATCTTTTTCCTGGCTAAGACATAACCTAATTCTGATAGCTAAGGAAAAATTACAAATATAAGAAAAGGGAAGATTCTAAACATTTCCTCTTTGTAGGCTATACTGGTGTTTTATAGATGTCATAAAATTAAAGAATTACCTTCAGAAAATCACTAATGACACAATCAGCAAGAGAAAAATGGATGACTAAAAGCCAAATTTAGTATCAAATTTAATTTCAAACTTTATCAAAATTTATCAAAATTTAAATAATGTCTTCCTTCAAAATGAAATACACTTCAATGATCCTAGTCAAAATAATATTTTGTATTAATTTCTGAGTATATCACAACAGGTATTATAGTAGGTCATTATTCAGCCATTATTCAACACATCCACATCCTAATCCTTAGAACCTGTGAATAATTACCTTATACGGCCAAAGAAACTTTGCAGATGTAAGTCAAGTATTTTGAAATGAGGAAGTTATTCTGGATCATTAGTGTGAGCCTGAAATGTAATTATAGGTGTCCTCCCAGGCGGAAGTCAGAGGGAGATCTGACTTCAGAAGAGTAGGCAGTGTGACCACAGAAGCAGAGAATGAGTAATGCAGCTACAAGCCAAGGAATGCTGGCAGCCAAGGAATGCGCTTCCCCCTAAAATCCTCCAGAAGAGACCAGCCCTGCTGACACCTTGATTTTAGCCCTGTATAAGACATTTTAGACTTTGGCTTCCAGAACTGTAAGAAGATTCATTTCTGTTGTTGTTTGCTTTCATAAGATTTTATTTATTTATTTGACAGAGAGAGAGAGAGAGAGTCAGTCAGTGGGGAGCAGCAGAAGGAGAAGCAGGCTCCCCAACGGGGAGCCCAATGCGGGACTCAATCCCAGGACCCTGGGATCACAACGTGAGCTGAAGGCAGATGCTTAACCCACTAAGCCACCCAGGCGCCCCTCATTTCTGTTGTTTTAAGCCACAGAGTTTGTGGTAATTTGTTACAGCAGCAATAGGAATGAATACAGGTGTACAGATAAAATTTGGCTTAAAATTTGCAGAATTTTAAGCCTAAGAAATGTCTGTGCGCATTAGTATTGATTCTGTGACATACGTAAACTACAGAAAACTAAGGATGAACACAGCTAAAGTGGTTCAAATTGCTGTGATTCCACTTATCTGCCAAACATAACAGCCATCTTTCTGATTCATGGCTTGTACCTTTTATTGGATTGCTGGTGGCGTTTTGCAACAACTGTCACACAATTTTCATTAACAACATTCATTATTCTTACCCTAAATTCTTTTGAAATATGTAGCTGCTATGAGTGACATTCTTATATGTCAGCTGTTTGTGTGTGAGCAACAAAGCAAGGGGCATGGTAAGTTGTCAATTTTTTTTTAATACCCTCCATTACAACTATCAGAATTTTCTCACTAAATTGACCTTCCAGGAATCACTCTAAACTAAGATGGTGAGTGCTGAAAATCTCTGAAGACTGACGTGCAAGAAAAATTTAGATTCTACTCATATCACTACTCACACGCTGGCAGAGATATTCTAGAATGCTTTGTAATTAACTAGCTGGCCTCCCTGTCGGTTTCTACAGATTGGAGCTACCTAAGGATGATCGTGATTGTTCTATGGCTTCAACTAAGCCATCTTTTTAAAGTTAACCTCAAAGAATGAGAAATCCATCAACATTCTGCTTTTCAGATCTTGCCTAAAAAGAGAAAAGCTGACAGTTTGTCAAATCAATAAAATTATGTACATACCAGAATTAGAGAGCCATGGAGTTATACAAATAACTGAAAAGAGTTCTTAAAATTCTCTCTCTCTTTTTTTAAAGATTATTTATTTATTTATTTGACAGAGAAAGATGGAACACAAGCAGGGGGAGTGGGAGAAGGAGCGGCAGGCTCCCCGCTGAGCAGGGAGCCACTCAGGCGCCCTCTTAAAATCCTCTTAAAAGTATGCAAACACGAAGAAAGAAAGGGCAGCAATCACTATGTACAGATATTCTGGTTGCTGGCCTAACCGCATCCTTTTAATAGCTTTTAAAAATTACTACTGTTTAAACATTACTGTATGAATGAATAAATGCCTTTATATCTTCTCGGCAAGTCATACCAAAGCATATCATAGTTAAGAGCTTAGACTATTTTCTACTAACTTTCTATTTTTGCTTCTATTTCAAGATCTCCTACCCATATGCTGCCATTTAAATTTTTCTGTATGGATACTAATCCCCTGATACTTTCTGCTAAGGCAAGATACTCTTCCAATATTTCCCTAATACTAAGTATTCATTGAAAGGGTCATTTTTTTGGTTATAATCTATTCTGCTGTTGGACAAAGAACATAGCAAAATCACTCAGAAAGATTCCTGTCTATTTCCATGTGTGTATGACATCCTGAACAGCTTCTATTCACATTAACTGGATAGCTTTCCAAAGAAATAAAGCATTTCACCAAGTGTTATTTATTTAACATCCATTTATGTATATGGCCCTATGGGAGTCAGATAGATAGATAGATTGATTGATTGAGAAAACACAGAATTTTGTCCTCAGAAGCTTATACCCTCATAAGGGAAGGTACTACATTTACACAAAAAGCTATAATCAGTAAAATGTAAAGAACCATCACAAGAGACGTTATCAGTGAAGGGCTACAGGAATTCCGAGGAAAAGATCAATTAACATCAGGGAAATGTATGAAGTTAGCAATGAAAATGAGTCCTCTGACTGGCCTCAATGAAGGGGAAGGGAATGACAGAAGAAAGGGAAAAATCTTGCCTGACAGATGAGAATCAGTAACTGACGCAGGAGAATCAGTAACCGCGGAGTCCTGAGTCTGGCAGGAGTAACAAGCGCAAGAAAGGGAGGAGCAGGGACAGGAAAAGATAACGTTTCCACTGACTCCCAGAGGCTGTAAACACAAGGCTAAACCTTCAACTTTGTTAACTGAGCAACAAAGACTTAGGTGACACAAAATAAAGTCAACAGGAATAAACAAAGCTCTGGGCTTGTTTTGCCCTTTTTGTGGGGAACTGGTGAGGTACAAAGGGTAAAAATCCTGTATTTACCTCAGATATCAGAAATCAGCAAATTTTATCAGAACCAAAGGAAACACATTGGAATGAATGTAGAGTGAGCTTCGGGACATGCATCCAAACTAACAAGACAAGAGGGGAGCTGTTCCAAGTCATTCTAAGCATCCAAAATTCTAGGTGAGGAGTTAAGAGAGACTTCCCTCAATGCCCTGTTCTTTGGGAGCCGTGTAACACATGCCTCTATTTGTAACAAAAGCCTAGAGCGGCCATGAAATCCTCTTATCTCTAAAGACTGCTAAGTGTTTCCAACATAGCTCAGGAATTAAACTTTGTTTCCAAGAACCAGGCAGCACAGCAGGATGAAGGGGGTTTCTGAATTTAAATGTGCCTGTTCCTAACCTCTGTAGTGAGCCGACCACTAACACTGCGCTGGTCTTATGAGGCCCCCTAGTGTTCACAATGAAGACACATACTCCAACACCGGCATCAGAAAACCCTTCATTGTTACATCAACTATAATTTTAAGACAGAGAGAGATTGATTTAAAAAAAAAAAAAATCAGCACACATGATTTTCCCCCAAAGTTGATTTACCTTCTGGAATCTCACATACGGAGTCTATTATACCATTATAACAACTGTCGTATTTATTAGAATAACCTTCTTCAGTGGCATTCTCTTACCTTCTTACTCTAGGACTTCAACTGAGGAAACACCCTGATATTCAACCAGCTAGCTGAGAAATGGGTTACAAACGACTTTGTGGTATTTTGAGCAATCAAGTCTGCAAATAAGATACCTTTCCTGTTTCTGTATGCAAGAGAACCCATCCCAGAAACACTACCAGGCTTCTCATCCCATCTCCACCCCACCCTCAAAGTTTCTGGCAAGACCCATAGAATAATAATAGGTAGAAACACTTCACTCTCTTCTCCCCTTCTTTTCTCCTCCCCACTCCTCCTCACACACTTGTCTAATCCGTAAGACTAGGGAAAGGAACACTAACCATACCTAACTCATCTTGTCTTTTGGGATCCAGCCTATTGACGATAGTCTCCCTTCCCCAACAGTTAGCAGCCCATTTCTGTGGGGGAGATGAGGTCTACAAGTCATCCAGCTGCCTGCCTATGACTGGAGGAATGAATGAATGAAGAGTAGAAGATTATTAAGCCACATTCTTTAATACTGGCATATTTTAATCCCTGACGTCAGTATGAATTTCTGAACTGTATAAAAGAGAGAAAAAGTATGATCAATTATCACCCCAAAAATAAATTAAAGCAGATTATCCCTGTACTATCATAACTCCTTTTCTGTGCTTCGCTTGACTGGAAGAGGAAAGAGTCGAACATTGCCCTAAATATACTTGTCCATACAGCACTCCTTGTATATTTCACAACAACAATGAAAACTCAAGACCTAAATGAACAATATCTTACTACATTTAGGCCATTGCTTGTTTATTGTCTTCTGCCTTGTTTCAAGTGGACATATCGTATTTCTAAATGAGAAGCATTTTCCTTCAACATCAAGTTTTATTGACCAACTCGTTAAATAATTTAAGGTAACTTTATATACTAAATGGTGCTTCCCTTAACAAATGACTGCCTTTGTCAAGTTAAAGTCCTTTCTTTAGTTCAAAAACATGTATCTGAGACTTACTTCTTCAAACCAAATGTACTTTAGACTTACTTTAAAGAATACCACAAATCTGTATAGAATTATTTATTATTTATTATTATTTGAATGGACTCTGAATAACCCATTATATTTAATTCCAAATTAACTTACCAAGACAGGAGTACAAACCCTGACTTATCCAGGCTAATATGGCAAGAGTTATGAGGTCGCCAAAACTAGCGGCAATGGGGGTAGCAACGTTATCAGGATTTATGCCAGTCTTCTTTGAACCAACGATAACGCCAACCATTATTATTCCTAGAAGAAAGAAAACTCATTACTTTTTATGCTGTGATTTAGAGAAAATCAATCCCCTGCATTCCAAAATATAAAGGCTAGACCAACAGCCCATCAGTTCCAGTCAGACTGCTTAGATAAGTTGACTAAAGCAAACAAAACATTTTACTCTAATGCTTTGGCAAAATGCCTTTCAACAAATTCCAAGTAGGGATCATAGAAGATTTCAGAAGTTCAGTGTTGCATCTGGAGACCTGAAAAGCTACTGTAAAATAACATTAAAGCTAAAGTTTCAGATTTAATAACGTGTATGTCTCAGGTGTAATGTATTTGTGTGTACCAAACCCGAAGAGTTTATTTTAACCCTCACAGTATGAAAATGTCAAAGAAAGGTGAGGCATATTTATATGCACAGCAACTGGGAAGAAGACCAAAAAAACGGATTTGTCTACATGGTGGTAGCCAGAATGCTTGCTTTGTTTTATTTTTTAAAAGTGATGAAGCAGGGATGGGGATACCTGGGGGGCTCAGTCGGGTAAGCGGCTGCCTTCGGCTCAGGTCATGATCCCAGGGTTCTGGGATTGAGTCCCACATCGGGCTCCTTGCTCAGCAAGGAGCCAGCTTCTCCCTCTACCTCTGCCTGCCACTCTGTCTCGCTTTCTCTGACAAATAAATAAATAAAATCTTAAAAAAAAAAGTTTAAAAATAAAAGTGATGATGCATTCAGAGGAGTGAACTAATTAAAATTTGAACACTGGAGGCCAAAACACAAAAAGCAGTCTCTAAAGAAGTTTCTTTTTCTTCTTTTTTTTTTTTTTAAGATGTATTTATTTATTTTGAGAAAGAGTGAGCATAAGGGGCTCGATCTCACAACCCTGAGATCAGGACCTGAGCCTAAACCAAGAGTCGACACTGAACCAACTGTGTCACAGAGGTAACCCTATAGGGTATTATTTAAAACCAAAGTTTCTATCTATGAACTTCCAACTAGAGAGGATGAAAATATATATGACTGTATACTTGCACTCCTAAATATTTGTTTTCTTGAATCATAGAAATGGTGAGGGAGGGTGACAACAATTATAACCATACCCTGTTGCATACATTTTCTCAGGCCAAAATGTAGAAGATGCAGGTGCGGAGAATATTCAAGATTAGTGCACTTAGATGCTAACCATAAACCAATACGGAAACCTAAATATGGCTACAGGAAAAAAATCCTACAGAATCTCCCTGCATTCTTATACTGACAATGACTCAAAATGATTTTATTCTAGCATACTCATTTTATAGATAATAAAACTGAGGTCCTAGGAATAGGTTTTAAGTGAAAGTCACAGACCTTGCAAGTAACCCTAGTCCCGTGTCTTCTACCAACCCATAAAGGCAAAATTATTAAAAGTAGAATTTTCGTCTTGCTTCAAACAATGTCTCACTTCTTATATTCTGGAGACATTTTCAATCTACAGACTCACCTTTTGCATAATATTGGGGGAAAAAGCAATAGCAGAAAAAAATTTTAAATGCATTATGTAATAATCAAGATGCAATCCTACAGAATTCTTCTTTCAAAGTCAGCACATTTAAAGACTGATATGGAAAGTTCTTCTAGGACAGAATGCCATCCATATCTTTTCAGCTGAAAACAGATATTTTGCCAGCATGGACCAGCAGAAAGAGCTAGGAGTCAGGAAACAGCCTGTAATTCTCATTTTATGTAAACCAGCTGATGAAACTAGAGAAGTCACCTTACCTGGGTCAGTTTTCTCACCTACAAAAGGTGGTTAATAGTATGTGGTATACATATATAAAGGTCAAGGTCTCATAAAATTAGAATACACATTATTCAAAGTAAGGAACCTTACGTAAATATATTTTAAAGGTCTGGATTCTTATGATTTTGAAAATCCTAGGCAATAAAATAGTTTTTACTGAAAATTTTTAAACAAATTTCTCTAAAGAAAACAAGATTAGAAAGAAAACAGAACCAAATGAACTTAAAGAAAAAGAAGCTAATGCTTTAGGGTTTGTTTGTTTGTTTTGTTTTTTTACCAGAAATTAATTTCCTAGTAGCTTGGGGTGCCTGGGTGGCTCAGTCAGTTAAGCGACTGCCTTCAGCTCGAGTCATGATCCCAAGGTCCTGGGATCAAACCTCGCATCAGGCTTCCTGCTCAGCAGAGAGCCTGTTTCTCTCTCTCCCTCTGCCTGCTGCTCTGCCTACTTGGGCCCTCTCTCTACCACTCTCAAATAAATAAAGTCTTAAAAAAAAAATTCCCAGTAACTTAACTTCACCCTGCTTTGGCCAGTGTTAACTTCCCTGAATTCTGGTAATTCTATATAGAGACAAGAAACTACCCCTAATATAATTTAAGTACCAAAACAAAATGCTCGAAAATATTTTGGAAGTCAAGTCTTAATTTTAATAAGATACCCTAAATTCCCAGAACCTAACCAAAAAAGTTACCTTAACACTTGTACAATCACCTGACATGAGAATTTACTGTTTTTCACCTTGCTGGTGATATAAGGGTAAGAAGATGGTAATTTTATAATAAAAAGAACAAAGTCTTTATCATTATGATTTCATAATAAACTAGTTCTCCAGTGCTGAGTTCTTAATAAATAAATACAACGAATGATATCCCAAATGAAAAACACTAATGTAGTTAAGTTTTTAAATCTTTGGGCTCTTTAAAAGTCTATAGCCAGCAATATACTGGGTTGAGCATATGGTTATATTTGTATTGCCATAGAAATAGTGAAGAAATTTTTTTGAAATCTCAAACTTTAAAAAATTTTAACACAGGGACTGTTTTTGAAATTTGGAATTTCTAGAATCCTTGTTACTCAAATGACAAACCGTAAATCCTCTGCATGATTTCCAGAAAGGAGTTTCTCAATTAATTTAATTTACAGAAACTAGTGAATACCTAGATTTTTTTCCCAAGCTCATTGGGAACTCTACCAGAATACCTAAGGCCAGGAGACAACTTCAGATAGCATGTTCTAATACAAACAATCATTAGAACATATTATGAGCAACTATATGTCAGCAAATTTGACTATCTGGAAGACGGAGGCATTCCTAGAGACGTATAAACTACCAAAACTGAACCAGGAAGAAAGAGGAAACCCAAACAGACCCATAACCAGTAAAGAGATTGAAGCAGTCATCAAAAATCTACCAACAAACAAGAGCCCAGGGCCAGACGGCTTCCCAGGGGAATTCTACCAAACATTTAGAGAAGAATTAATACCGATTCTCCTGAAACTGTTCCAAAAAATAGAAATGGAAGGAAAACTTCCAAACTCATTTTATAAGGCCAGCATTACCTTGATCCCCAAACCAGACAAAGACCCCATCAAAAAAGAATTACAGACCAATATCCTTGATGAATACAGATGTGGAAATTCTCACCAAAATACTAGCCAATAGGAACCAACAGTACATTAAAAGGATTATTCACTGGGCGCCTGGGTGGCTCAGTGGGTTAAAGCCTCTGCCTTCGGCTCAGGTCATGATCCCAGGGTCCTGGGATCGAGCCCCACATCAGGCTCTCTGCTCAGCAGGGAGCCTGCTTCCCTTCCTCTCTCTCTGTCTGACTCTCTGCCTACTTGTGATCTCTGTCAAATAAATAAATAAAATCTTAAAAAAAAAAAAAAAGGATTATTCACCAGGACCAAGTGGGATTTATCCCAGGACTGCAAGGTTGGTTTAACATCCACAAATCAATCAATGTGATACAATACATTAATAAAAGAAAGAACAAGAACCATATGATACTCTCAATAGATGCTGAAAAAGCATCTGACAAAGTACAGCATCCTTTCTTGATCAAAACTCTTCAGAGTATAGGGATAGAGGGTACACACCTCAATATCATCAAAGCCATCTATGAAGAACCCACAGCGCATATCGTTCTCAACAGGGAAAAACTGAGAGCTTTTCTGCTAAGGTCAGGAAGAAAGCAGGGATGTCCATTACCACCACTGCTATTCCACATAGTGCTAGAAGTCCTAGCCTCAGCAATCAGACAACAAAAAGAAATTAAAGGCATCCAAATTGGCAAAAAAGAAGTCAAACTATTGCTCTTTGTAGACGATATGATACTTCATGTGGAAAACCCAAAAGGCTCCACTCCAAATCTGCTAGAACTTGTACAGGAATTCAGTAAAGTATCAGGATATAAAATCAATGCACAGAAATCAGTTGCATTTCTATACACAACAATAAGACAGAAGAAAGAGAAATTAAGGAGTCAATCCCATTTACAATTGCAGCCAAAACATAAGATACCTAGGAATAAACCTAACCAAAGAGGCAAAGAATCTGTACTCAGAAAAAGACAAAGTACTCATGAAAGAAATTGAGGAAGACACAAAGAAATGAAAAAATGTTCCATGCTCATGGATTGGAAGAACAAATACTGTGAAAATGTCTATGCCACCTAAAGCAATCTACACGTTTAATGCAGTCCCTATCAAAATACCATCCATTTTTTTCAAAGAAATGGAACAAATAATCCTAAGATTTATATGGAACCAGAAAAGACCTTGAATAGCCAGAGGAATGTTGAAAAAGAAAGCCAAAGTTGGTGGCATCACAATTCCAGACTTCAAGCTCTATGACAAAGCTGTCATCATCAAGACAGTATGGTCCTGGCACAAAACAGACACATAGATCAATGGAACTGAATAGAGAGCCCAGAAATAGACCCTCAACTCTATGTTTAACTAAACTTCTACAAAACAGGAAAGAATGTCCAATGGAAAAAAGACAGTCTCTTCAACAAATGGTGTTGGGAAAATTGGACAGCCACATGCACAAAAACGAAACTGGACGATTTCCTTACACTACACACAAAAATAGACTCAAAATGGATGAAAGACCTCAATGTGAGAAAAGAATCCATCAAAATTCTTGAGGAGAACACAGGCAGCAACCTGTTCAACCTCAGCTGCAGTAACTTCTAGGAACATCGCCAAAGGCAAGGGAAGCAAGGGCAGAAATGAACTATTGGGACTTCATCAAGATCAAAAGCTTTCGCACAGCAAAGGAAACAGTGGACAAAACCAAAAGACAACTGACAGAATGGGAGAAGATATTTGTCAAGGACACATCAGATAAAGGGCTAGTATCCAAAATCTATAAAGAACTTATCAAACTCAACACCCAAAGACAAATAATCCAAATAAGAAATGGGCAGAGGACATGAACAGACATTTCTGCAAAGAAGATATCCAGATGGCCAATAGACACATTACTCGGCATCAGGGAAATACAAGTCGAAACCACAGTGAGATACCACCTCACACCAGTCAGAATGGCTAAAATTAACAAGTCAAGAAATGACAGATGCTGGTGAGGATGTGGAGAAAGGGGAACCCTCCTACACTATTGGTGGGAATGCAAGCTGGTGCAGCCACTCTGGAAAACAGCATGGAGGTTCCTCAACAAGTTGAAAATAGAGCTACCCTATGACCCAGCAATCACACTACTGGGTATTTACCCTAAAGATACAAATGTAGTGATCCGAAGGGGCATGTGCACCTGAATGTTTATAGTGGCAATGTCCACAATAGCCAAACTATGGAAAGAGCCTAGATGTCCATCAACAGATGAATGGATAAAGAAGATGTGGTGTGTATATATATACACAATGGGATACTATGCAGCCATCAAAAGAAATGAAATCTTGCTAATTGCAATGATTGAATTGAACTAGAGGGTATTATGCTGAGCGAAATAAGTCAATTAGAGAAAGACAATTATCATATGAGGAACTTGAGAGGCAACATGGGGGTTCAGGGGGTAGGGAAGGAAAAAATGAAACAAGATGGGATTGGGAGGGAGATAAACTATAAGAGACTCTTAACTCACAAAACAAACTGAGGGTTGCTGGGGGGAGGGTGGTAGGTTATGGACACTGGGGAGGGTATGTGCTATGGTGAGTGTTATGAAGTGTGTAAGCCTGACGAGTCACAGACCTGTACCCCTGGGGCTAATAATACATCATATGTTAATAAAGAAAAAAGAAATAAAGCCTGTTCTATACTTACCAAGGCTTATATATAATATATTTAAGTGTATCTGAAATAAGACATTTTAAAAGCTTATAGATAAATTTTCTCTTCTGCCTGTACTCTTGGTGGGAACGCAGACTGATATGGCACTCTGGAAAACAGTATGGAGGTTCCTAAAAAAGTTAAAAATAGAACTGCCCTACAGTCTAGCAATTGCACTACTAGGTTATTTACCCTAAGAATACAAAAAAACTAATTCAAAGTGATACATGTACCCCAATGTTTATAGCATTATCTACAATAGCCAAACTATGGAAATAGCCCAAGGGGTCCTCAAGTGATGAACAGATAAAGATGATGTGACAGATCCATCCATATACAATGGAGTATTACTAAGCCATAAAAAGAATGAAATCTTGCCATTTGCAATGATGTAGATGGAGTGTACCATGCTAAGTGAAATAAGTCAGAGAAAGAAAATACCATATGATTTCACTCATATAGGGAACTTAAGAGACAAACAAATGAGCATATGGAAAAAAGAAAGAGAGGCAAACCAAGAAACAGACTCTTAATGGTAGAGAACTAGTAGTTACCAGAATGGAGGTGCCTGGGGGGAACTGGGGGAAACAGATAAAGGGGATTAAGAGTACACTCATCTTGATGAGCACTGAGTCATACATGGAAGTGTTGCATCACTGTGTTATACACCTGAAATTAATATTACATTGAGGTCAACTAACAGGAATTTAAATAAAAATGTAAAAATTTTTCCTGTTGATCTTACAATGAACAAGCATCATTTTATTTTTTTATTTTTTATTTTTTTTTTAAAGATTTTATTTATTTATTTGACAGACAGAGATCACAAGTAGAGAGGCAGGCAGAGAGAGAGAGAGGGAAGCAGGCTCCCTGCTGAGCAGAGAGCCCAATGCGGGACTTGATCCCAGGACCCTGAGATCATGACCTGAGTCGAAGGCAGCGGCTTAACCCACTGAGCCACCCAGGCGCCCCAACAAGCATCATTTTAATAAAAATAGTCAACAAGGAAAACATATTATTTGAAAGTGCAAGACCGTGGGGCAGACATTCATAAATTTACTTGCCTTGTAGAAGAGACGCAATGAAAGCAGTGGCTACACTGCTGGAACACAGAAGTATGGAATGGTCGAGGTAGTACTTCCCCTCCGGAATCCAGCCCAGGATCACCGCCGCCACAGCTGCTAGAAAACCAACCACTGTCGCTTGAACCTAAAAATTGTTTCAGGAAGTCCAACTGAATTATTCATTTCAAAAACCAGTTTTTACTTGATTGTGTAAATATGCATAACAAAAGTCCGAAGAAAGCAGTGCACACAGTCCCTGAGCTGCATCATTATCTTTTGAAGAAGCTACTCTATTTTAGTGCTAATATTCCCAAAGGCAGTGAGTTCTCAAACCGTCATAACCGGGTACCATTGGGGTCCTGAATAGGGTCCAGGAATCTGTTTTTTATCAAGCATCCCAAGTGACTTTGATGGTGTAACCCACAGATCATCTAAGAAGACTGAAAGGTACCCAGTCCTTACAACTGAACTTTGACTTTCCAGAAGCAGTGCTAGTAAGAAATTGGATTTTGTGATCCAACAATAAGAGTTTGCCTCCTGGCTATATTGCCCAATCTTGTGGCAAGTTATTTAAAATTTGTTCATTCAACAAGTATTTATTGAGAATCTAGGGGCGCCTGGGTGGCTCCATCAGTTGAAAGCCTGCCTTTGGCTCAAGTCATGATCCCAGAGTCCTGGGATCGAGTCCCACATCGGGTCCTTGCTCGGTGGGGAGCCTGCTTCTCCCTCTGCCTGCTGCTCCCAGCTTGTGCGCTCTATCAAATAAGTAAAAATAAAATCTTTAGAAGCTATACAAGGTGGTTGGTCTTGGGCCACACAGTGATCAAAATAGATTTATCCCCTGTTCTCCCCACACTCTTGGTGGGTGGGCGGGTGGGAGAGATATTAAAAAGTAACCTCACGAATAACACAATCATGACCTATAAAGTAACAACAGTAATACTGAATTTGAAAATTGAGATTTAAATGAGTTACATAATATAAAAGTGCTTCCCACAGTGCTGGCACAAAGGAACCCGGCGACTAAAGAAAAGTAACACTGGGAACTCATAGAATCCTATTAAGTAAAATGTGAGAACTAAAGAAGCCCTAAGGGAACCTAATTCCAAATTCTTCACTGTATTGGTGTCCTGGACTCCTCTGACAGCCTGGCAAAAATTTTGTAAAGATTCTTTTCTCTATGAAAACACAGATGCACTCAAGACTGAGAAGAATTTCTAGGTGCTCACGGACTCTCTGAAGCCAGTCCATGTGGTGGAAGAATCCAGAGCCATCTCTGGCTCCCATCCTGACCATCTGCAGGGAAGGAGGATTACAAGGGAAGGGTGCAGATGAAGAGTGGAAGGAAAAATTAAAAGCTGGGATGGAAGGTCTTAGAATGATGTGATGAATAATTTACATTGCCACTTGTATTACCTGGTAAGAGCTTAGAATATTTAAAGAATAAAATGGAATATATTTTCCAAATTTTAATTTATATATTAATTTATAGTAGCCTACTTGTTAAATATTTTATTACCCCTGAGTAGGTTCCTACAATTTCAAGCTGGAAAGGAACATTGACATCTCTAATGCAATACTGTGATTTAAAAGAAGAGGATGAAGAAGCCCTGAAAAGTTAAGTAAATTAACAAAGTTTATACAGCTGGTTAATGTTGGAGCTAAGATTAAATCCCGGACTTTCTTATTTCTAACCCTGTGATCTTAGAAGCAGCTACACAAATATTTTTTTAAAGCCCATATTCAAAAAATTCTTTTATTTCTATGTCTTTGAAATGCAATACATGAAATTACTGTTTTGCAGCCATGTTTCTCAATATGATGTCCTAATCAAGCTAAGATTAAAATTAGTGAGTGTCCCTTAAGCCCACTTGCTAGAGAGTTACTAGGAGGCTGTGGTCATGTGTCTTGGGCATAATAGGAAGTAGCTGGGGAGGAAGAGACATTTACCTGAGATCAGAAGGAGATATAGATAATCTATATAATCCAAGATTTAGTGTATATGTAACTGACAATCTAATGTGCTCATTTATATGAACATTAGTAACATTAACAAATTAAGAAAAACTCTTAAATAAACATATGACTATAATATATAAAAGTTCAGTTTGAAGAAGATTTACTTTAAAAAAAAATCAAAGTAGAAAAAACAGAACCTAAGCAATTGAAGTGCAAAATATTTGTACAGATATTAACTCAAATACTGGCTCTGTAACACATGATAAAAAATTTATATATTTTATATACTTTTCAATATTTGGAAGAACATGACCAATTTCTAGAGAAAGAAAATTTTTTAGAGGTCATGAGTATCCGTTTATTCTATCATTTCTTCAGGGTACTAAATTATTGTCTTGGATCCCCTGAAATAATTAACTGGTAAAGTTAAGAGGGCTAAAATTTATTCCACTCTTGCAAGTAAAACCCTAGATGTATAAACCCAAGACCTGTAAACAAACACATGCATCACTTACCTGCTTTAAAGCCAAGTTGCCAATTATGAGGTTCCACTTTTCAATGGGCGAATCCATCTTCCCAATATTTACCTGTTAAGATAGATACTTTCATCATGTATCACTGACTAATTTATATGCTTTCTCTGTTTCAATAAGCATATGAAGTCTTAAAGCCAAAGATAATTCTTTAGCACATCTGATGAACGCACATTGTACTTTAAATATAATTCTGGATTCACCACCAGTCCTGTATCTCACATTTAGCTTGTCCAAGATGTTTAGAAAAATATATTTTTTAATTTAATTACTAGCTCACAAGAACTAGTGGACCAATCAGTCCACTGTTTACAATTAACATCATCAAATGTTAACCTAACATGCCAAATTTTGTGTACTGAGACCCAATATAAATAATTACACAATTTTGAGCTGCTGGCATTTTATGCCATATCATGAAACTAATGTAATTTGAAGAATTACTAACCAGAAAACCCAGGATTAAACAAATCATTTATATGTACATAATTTATATTTGAGTCAAGACTAAAATTGTTAGCAATAAAAATTTCATTCAGTTCACATAAATTTTGATTGTGTACCTCAATATTAAAATTTATGCATCTTTCTGCTAAATGGAAGAATACTCCCTAAAAAATTATTCAATTGCTCTATAAGCAAAATCGTCACTTTTCAACCATTTAGGATTCAAAACATGTATACCCAAATCTGTCGAGTTTTTCTAATGCAATCATTTAGAAAGCAGTGAACGATCTTTATTAATAAAAAACATACTGAGCTGCATTTCAATTATTCATCATCTGCTTGGTCATGGAAGACAGGTGAACGGGTGAAGTGGGAGATATGTAAGGGTTGTTATTTGTGGATAGTTTATGGACAGACTAGAGTTTAGCTCACTGGCTTCAAGCCAGCAGATTAAGTGCTACGTCAACATTCCCGTCAACATTCCCATTATCGATCTGGAAAACAGAATTCTCAAACCTCCCTCTGGGCTCCCTCTGGGCTCTAGACTCAAAGAACCCAGCAATGCAAATATTAAGATTTTTCAGTTTTTCAGTATAATTATTCATGCTGTCTTTATTTACAGATTTCTTCCCTAAGCTGGGAAATCTACATTATTCATGAAATTTATGATTGTAGCTCCAACAACCTCCGGCTTTGCCTCAGTGAGTAATAAGGTACAAGCAACGTTTAAAGGTTTCATGTTCAAGAAATAGGCATGGGAGAAATTAGTGTTATCTTTAATAACTTTTAGGAAGAGGTCTATAGGAAGCAATCTAAAATGATTCCATGAAACAATATAAGATGTCAAGACCCCAGCACTGCTTGATGATCCGGAACGGCGATCAGTAGAGGTGAATCACACATATAGGAAGGTCTAGGAGAAGGTCAAGAAAGGTGAGTCACAGAATGAATAAATGCTATGCTACAGTGCCAGAGTCACTTGGTACCATTGCCACTAGTCCCTTCTAAAGCCTGGAACCACCTTCCTCAAAATCCTCCTCCTTAAGCTGCAGGTTACCGTCTGCCAGTGACAGGAACTTGCCTAAGATTTGGAAGGCAGAAGCAAAGGAGAGGCCATTATTTCTGTAAGGTCTTGGTAGTCAGACACAGTAGGCATCCAGAGGTTTACACTGCAATGCACCCATGTCTTTCTTCCCCTGCTCCAGTGCCCCAGGCTAGTTCTCTGACCGCCCCCCCATCACAGATCTTTTCTTCTCCCACATTTGTGTAAGCCCAAATTGTTCTATCAAATTCCTTATTGCCACAGTATTTACCATGGCGGTTCTACTGACCAAACCCATACTGATAGAGCACCACGTCACACTATTCAATTAATCTGTTTTATAACTGATGAAGATCACAATTTCTAAGTCCCTTCCAGATCTCTAAGTCTCTGAATCTAGAGTCCTTTTAGTTTATCATGAATAATAAATAGTAAGTTAGTGTAGGATGTGAAATAAAACATATTTCACATTTATGAAATATAATTTATAGTGTGAAATCACACTATATTATGTGTAATATATGTATTATGTGAAATAAACACAAAGTGGAATATATTCACAAATAATAATCACTTTTTTTAATAAAGCAAAGATTTTTAGAAGCAAGGATTTTATTTTTTAAAAGATTTTATTTATTTATTTGACAGACAGAGATCACAAGTAGGCAGAGGCAGGTAGAGAGAGAGGAGGAAGCAGGCTCCCTGCTGATCAGAGAGCCCAATGCGGGGTTCAAACCCAGGACCCTGAAATCATGACCAGAGCCGAAGGCAGAGGCTTTAACCCACTGAGACACCCAGGCGCCCCTAGAAGCAAGGATTTAAAAAAAAAAAAAGAGAGAAAGGAGAAGTGACAATCCAAATTTAACTACTTAGGGAAAATAATTACGGTACGGGTGTGCGTTGGAGGTAGAAATAGGAGTTGGCAGGATACAGAAAATTGACCTTTGTTGCCTCCATATTATAAAAACTGAACAAAAAATTGGACGGCCCTACCGTACTGTTCAGTGGCCTAGGATTAATATGAACAATCAAACTTTTTCAGAGTAGAGAGGAACAAGAATGAGTGTTCTGTCTAAAGGCCTTTGCTAAACCTACTTTTATTAGATTAACTGACCTGATGGTATTCTGCTACAAAAACTAAGAACTTGGAAGGTGACAAAGTATAGTGGGATGTGATCTGATAAAGACTTCTACATAACCCAGATTAATTAATTTTAAGGAACTAGAAAAAATAGACCAATAATTTTGCAAAGACACTAGCTAGTTTTAGCTACTTATTTTTAAGGATTTTATTTATTTACATATTTGTCAGAAAGAGCACAAGCAGGGGGAGCAGCAGGCAGAGGAAGAAACAGGCTCCCCAATGAGCAAGGAGCCCAATGTGGGACTCAATCTCATGACCCCGGGATCATAACCTAAGCCAAACACAGCCAGTGAACCAACTGAGCCACCCAGTTGTCCTAATGCTAGCTCGTTTTAAAATGAGTAGAGCTGGGGCGCCTGGGTGGCTCAGTGGGTTAAAGCCTCTGCCTTCGGCTCAGGTCGTGATCCCAGAGTCCTGGGATCCAGCCCCGCATCGGGCTCTCTGCTCCGCAGGGAGCCTGTTTCCTCCCCTCTCTTTCTCTGCCTGCCTCTCTGCCTACTTGTGATCTCTCTCTCTGTCAAATAAATAAAATCTTTAAAAAAATAAATAAATAAAATAAAATGAGTAGAGCTGAGGTGGTGAGAGCCTGAAGATATGTTAAATTCTGGCCAATGTTGTGGTTTTAATGCTTTCTATCTAAATGCCTTAGGTTAAGTCTGAGGTGTCTCTATGTTTTATAATCTCTACACCCCTCTTCTTCATAGATGTATATGTTACTTATCTGACCCTGAAGCACATGAGTTACGGATAGGCTTTAAGATTATTGGGACAAAGGGTGCCTGGGTGGCTCAGTGGGTTAAAGCCTCTGCCTTCGGCTCAGGTCATGATCCCAGAGTCCTGGGATCGAGCCTTGCATTGGGCTCTCTGCTCAGCAGGGAGCCTGCTTCTTCCTCTCTCTCTACCTGCCTCTCTGCCTACTTGTGATCTCTGTCTGTCAAATAAATAAATAAAATCTTAAAAAAAAAGATTTATTAGGACTAAAGATAAAAGTGGGTTGGAATGATCTTGAAATTATAGATTTACAAATACTATAATTGATCTGGAAACACATTTAATATGTAAATACTTGAAACAAGGGTACTGAAAATTTCCACTGAAGTATTAGTCTTTTTTTTTTTTTAAGATTTTTATTTATTTATCTGACAGAGAGAGATCACAAGTAGGCAGGGAGGCAGGCAGAGAGAGGGGAAGGGAAGCAGGCTCCCTGCTGAGCAGAGAGCCCGATGCGGGACTCAATCCCAGGACCCTGAGATCATGACCTGAGCTGAAGGCAACGGCTTAACCCACTGAGCCACCCAGGCGCCCCCTGAAGTATTAGTCTTAAAATATGTATACATATATATGGGTGCCTGCGTGGCTCAGTTGCTTCAGCATCTGCCTTTGGTTTGGGTCATGATCCCAGGGTCCTGACTTCTGCTGCTTTGGGCTCCCTGCTCAGCAGGGAGTCTGCTTCTCCCTCTCCATTTGCCCTTCCCCCTCTGATTGAGCTCTCCTTCTAATTAATGAAGTTTAAAAAAAAATATATATATATATATAAAATATGTGCTCCCCAAAAAGGGCATATAAAAAAATAAACCTGAATGTTAACCATTGTTAACATTATTTCTGAATGACGGGCTTGTGGATAATTTTTATTTTCTTCTTTGTTCATTAGTGAATTGTTCAAATTTTTAGCGCTGAACATGTGGAACTGCTATAATCAGAAACTGTATTTAAAAACACATAATTGGTAAATTTAAAAATTTGGCAACTAGAAAAGGAAATAGTCTTAGCTTTTTGCCTATGATTTCTTTCTTAAGATTCCCTGTCTGGGCACTCATTAACATATCTGTTTAATTCTTTGAACATTTTTTCCTTTAGTTCTTTGAACATATTTACACTAGATGCTTTGAAAGATTCTGCTAAATCCAACATCTGGGCCTACTTTTTTTTTTTTTAAGATTTTATTTGTTTATTTGACAGAGATTGAGAGAGAGAGATCACAAGAAGGCAGAGAGGCAGGCAGAGAGAAAGGGGGAAGCAGGCTCCCCACTGAGCAGAGAGCCCGATGCGGGGCTCGATCCAGGACCCTGAGATCATGACCTGAGCTGAAGATGGAGGCTTAACCCACTGAGCCACCCAGGCGCCCCATCTAGCCCTACTTTGAGTCACTTTCCATTGACTGAGTATGAATCTCACTATTCTTAAATATGAATCACAATTTTTTGTTTCTTGCTACATCTAATAATTTCCAGTTAAAAACTAGGCAGCGTAATAATGCATAACAATGATTCTGATGATGTTATGTTCTTCTAAGCATTACTGGATTTTCCTTTCAATAGGCCATTAATTCCCCTAGACTCAAACTACAGACTCTTGTCTTCTCACAGTATAAAGCAGTTCATATCTTTGCTTTTAGTAAAGCTGGTTTTTTCAGCTAGG